CATGAAAAAGATTATCCCTAAAGGTAAAATGATAAAGGGAAGATAGTTTCTCCCATATTCGCAAAGCTTTCCCCCAAGTTTTACCAAACATTCATCCCTTACAACACTGACTTATTAGGTGCTGTTCACAACTTACCTCAGCTTGACAGAATCACCCCAAATTACGAGTTCTCGCCGTAGATAGACATTGGAATCGACATCAGCAAAGTTCTTGATGCTGCAGCTATTAATGAGCCAACCGTTACAGCCCATTATGTACTTCGCACGGTCTCCAGTAGCCAGCCTTTCCGCCTCTTCGGCGGTTCGCATATGCTCTTCAGGACAGAGGAAGTACCTAGGAAGAACAAACATCGCAGGTTTCCCACTGCCAAACTCAGTTGTACCACTAATGAAAACCCACTATTTAATAAGGTTCAGCCCTGTGCTTTGCTACTTACAACGGGCTGACAAAAAGTGCGGGAATATACTAACGTCTGAGGTGTGAGCGAAAGCTAACAAAAATAGTTTTCCGAGTTGGCCCAGACATAGATGTGTTTCTTCGAAAAAAATTATCCTCATACTCAATCCCAAACATTCATAGGATGCTTCTATCGTACAGCATTTGCTCTGGCTTCTTCCAGATTGGTCAAAAAGCACCAGAAATAAGTGCTTCCTTAGTGAGAAACCACCGTCATAGATGTCGAGGTCGAGGATGCGACCCGAAGACCCCATGAAAGTTAATCCAAAGAGAAAGCAAATGAGACTAAGGATTCAAGGCTGCATAATAATAATTCTGGAATGATAAGGGAAAGGAGTACTAAAACTTATTGTATCCACTTTTGCCAATCTACCTGTCAACCAACGGCGTGGCCTCCGAGACGGTACCGAGAAGGGGTCCATTGGGATCTACAAATCGATAGCGGGCGCCACCAGCAACGCAATCAGCAGCGCACAAGAGATTATGTACCATGGTCTCCTCGGCAATTCGATTCATGTCGGCGAGCCGAAGTCTAAGATTATGTGCAGCTACATCGGGTATGTCGTGACCAAAGATTTCGTGAGCGAGACCGAAGTCCACTGTTGCTCCCATCCGTCGGCCTGCACGCGTCCCTACTATGCGCAGAGTCAGTGAGGTGTCCGACCCAACATATGGCGGCGACTTAGAGCCCTCAACTGTCAAGCAAGAAAAGATGAGTCAAGTGACGGTGAAGGAACCTAACCCGGGACCAACGGTGCTTTGGTGTGACGCCTCTTCCATGTTGCAAGCATTTTCGATGTCAACATGGACCCATGAAAGGACACTGCTTGATACACTATAAATGGGAAGTATGCGATGTTTTAGGTCCCCTACAAATGCTTTTGAGTTCAGAAGATTATAACAGACGTGAAAAGTACCCGGTCCTTAATCGAAATTTGCTAAAATTTAGTGCCATCGCAAAACACGAAGGCACGGAGGCTGTGGCGGTAGCCCCTAGTAACGTTTAACAACAGAGGTGAAAAATTGTTAAGTGGAGAGCACAAGTCAGTTTAAAGGTAACAACTGCATCACCCTAGTAGACTCGGTTTGCTGGACGGTTAACACCGTCATTCTTCCAGGAAGCGCGATTAGTGACCTAGTAACGTTAGGGACCGGACCAAAGCTAAA